CAAAGAAAACAAAGTGTTACCTGAAATACTGTATGTTTTGTACGTCTGACATGTTTCTCATCTCTTGACAAATACTGGTTGATTTGTTATCGTGTTTGCAGTATTCATTCGCGTCATCAACTAAATGCTTGGTGTTTAGCAATGCTGTTGACTGAACTGTACGAAACTCGCTGGTACTGCATTCTGTTGGACAGGAGTTTTGGCATTCCAAGAACGAGTCAATGCTGCGGATGTCGTCTAGAAATCCCCCAAAAAATAAAATAAAAATGAAAAACACGTGTATGTCATCTTGATACATTAACAACGTTTCAAGCAAAAGGCCTAGTATTGCAGGAGATTCACACTATGTAGCTGACGCCCGTCACCTTCCACGCGCACAGCACACAGTCGAAATAGATTGCAAAGTGTGTCAACTTACGCAATAGGAAGCTAGAACACATCACCTGACTTTGATTTGTGCACAGGCTCAGCCCTAAAATAATGCATATTATTACACAAAAAATCACAATTATCATTTCTACACTTAAAAAGCTATATCTAAAAAGAAGTAGCGATTCTCATCTATTTCTGTTGATTTTTCCCACGATTTCTCATAATCGGGGAAAAATAATGTGTTTTGTGTTCCCAAGCAACCGCTCCTTTGAACATTATAAGTACGTATACTTTTAGTTCGAAATTACTGAAAAATATTCGGTCTGTAGTATCCCTAATAATTCAATATTCTATTAAAGACCTCGAAAGCCTGTACTACTCCCTAAGAATAAGAACAAGCAAATTTGGATACAACTAACTGAAAAATTATTTATTGCAGCTAACGTCGAAGTGGATTTTTTTAACTCAAACACGGTATATTTTATATATTATATATATCCATTACGCGTAGAAAAGGCAATTTTATTCCGTGCATGTAACACAATAATCCTATACATGTGGTCGCTTCGTTTTTGACTCTGCGACGTAAAAGCCCCTTTTTCGCGGGCTCAAATCGGACATCCAAATCGGACACGAAAAATATTTAAAAATCTTTTCAAATATCAGGAATCGCTTTTTAGGACGTAAAAACAATTTTTTGAGTTTTCCAGTCAATAGAGAATTCGTACTAAATGAGTCATTCACACGTCAGTTGCTATTTAACTTTTGCCGTGAAATTCAAGTTTATGATTGTTTTAGAAGCTGGTGGAATTTAACATTAATTGTTTGAAAGAAGCTCATAGCTTGGGTTTTTTAAAGTGTAGACTTAAAGTAGTTCAGGGGCGGATCCAGGATTTTCCTCAGGGAGGGGTGTGGGCCTCTCAGGAGGGGGTGCACCCCACAAAAATCATTAGCATGAAGATACAAATTAAGGAAAGATAGATCTCAGGAGAGGGTGCACACCCCCTGCACCCACCAGTTGGATCCGGCTCTGTAGTTTAATAGTTATTTACCTGGTAACAAATACATGCTACATCCACAAATCTCCAAACCAATGGCGGCGAAGCAATCAGCTTGACACAGGTCTTGAGTGTAAGTCAAGTCTTTAAAATATTTTAGCTTCTTTGTCCCACATTTTGTGTCGTAAGGATAAGGTAAGCTATATATCTGAAACGTAGGATTGCAAAATGCATTGATCTATTAATAATAACATTATTAATATCTATTAATAATAATAAAATAATAATGCGTCTTTATTGAAAAAATAAGTCGAAAATACACTTCTTAAATTACAAAGTTAGGAAATTAAGTGAAAAAAGTTACAAATTAATAACATCATATTTAAATAGTAATCTGTTGAAAAAAGTGTTAATAAACGAGAGGTATATATTTTAGGTTTAGCTGCTGCAGAGTATCTTAAGTCATATCTAGTTGATTTAGGCTTAGGTTTAAACTATAGAGAGGATGACTTTCAGTAGAGGCTGCCTTCTTATAAAGTCGAATGTCCTGTTGTTCTAAGATCCCGTTTATGTCTAATCTGATGGATATATATTTACGTTTAAAGCAGCGATCGAGAAAGGCCTGTATGGTAGTTAATTCAGCAACGGCTGCTCATAAACCATATGTAATGTTTGGTAGTAAATTAAAACAAAGCTATAGAAAAGGTGGTCGAGCTCTTTCTGGTTATAAYCCTCCTTACGTAAGCACCTATAAGTGGAGGAGATATTTGTGAACTTTGAAGGAGATGCAATGAAAACATAAGTAGAAGAAAAAAAAAGAACAAGATTACAATGCTGTCAATGTATGAAAAGTCTTAATATAGCTTTAATATTACCACAGAAGATCACTGTAGATCTAGACCTTACGAGCTTGCATTTTACTTCGTACTTTATGGGAACTATTTTTTTGAAAATTAAAATCAATCAAAGAATTTTTCGCCGTTTGATTTGAGTAAGTTACAAACTCTTCTGAAATGTCTCGCTACTTTTAGTTCTTTTTTTATCATRTAGAAAAGAGTTATTATTTCCTTATAATTAAGATAGTAAGATATCCCATATATGTGAGCAAAAGCAAAAGAAGGAAAGAAAGAAAACGAAATGATGCTAGTGGCTAATTGTATAAAGCTTTGCACGTAAGTCACGAAAGTTGCAAACTTAAATATTTATGAATACCTTTGCCATGTACATTTGGTTGTAGTCAGTCGTTTACTGGTTTTAGCTAGCTAACTCTAAAGATTGCAATTTAGATTTAATGGAACATGTGATTAGCACATCTGAGAATATAGAGTGTATTACACAGACGTTTGGAGATACGGATCAGTTATCTTCGCGTGTTCAATTGCCTGATATAAAYGGAAAAATTTGTATCTTGAATCGCACATGTAATGTTCTGTTAATTATATAAACACAAATTTATTATACCTATAAAGCAAAAAAATCAGACAATTTTATGCAGGGTATCCATGTTGTTTTAAGATGTGAAAGATACCCGGGGGGGCACTCCCATATATTTGCTATACGGGGACGTGCCGCTGGCCAGGGTATGTTTTTTTGCATTGCTGTCTTAAACAGGGTATACATTTCACCCGAAATTGTCTTAAACAGGCTCGACAATTTAGATAAAAGACCATGGACCGCGGAGCAGGGGGGGCTGGGGGGCTACAGCCCCCACAATAATTTTTCCGACATTTTGAATTCGAATTTTCTTAAATAAAGAAGCGAAGAGCCTCCTTATGAAATTTCACCATATATATTCTATAAAAATTGTGTAAAAACTGAGCGTGAACAATTAAAATTCAAGCTTTTTGGGGATTTTATATTGAGAATATCGCTGACCGTGTGTGCGGTAAAAACTGATAACGCCTCAAAACGCTGGAAATGACATTTCCGAGAGTTAAGATTTCAAAAATTTCCGAACCTCCCTAATACCACCTCCTCGCCGCTAGCCCCACCAAACAAATTTACGCTCCGCGGTCCTTGAAGACCGATATATTTTTTGTGTGTGTCTTAGACAGGGTAATATTTTCATAAGAAATACCGTAGAAATAATAGAAATACYGTTTCACTGTCCCAGGATTAACGTAACATCAAAAATTTCTTATTGTCTTTGATGGATGTCAGTATAATTGCCCTTTTGATGGTTGCGGCGCAGATTGCTATTCCTTATTTTTCCGATTTGTCTTGAACAGGGTACGGATTTTCACTTTCTTCTAGTGTCTTAAACAGGGTCAGGGATTTAGACCGCTGGCGGCACGTACCTATCCAAAATGGGGTCGAGTACCCCCCCCCCCCCCCCCCCCCGGGGAAAGATAATACTTTTTTATATAATAAAAAGTATTCTTACATCGGTTCTTTGTAGAGACAAAGATGTATGGATACCTGGTTGAATCAAAACATCATCCCTTTGAAACGTTTGGTGCTCGTGTGATCGGTGTACATGCAATTTTAGGCCAACAATTGGATCTTTAGAGTTCTTGAGATACCAAGGTGACTGAACGTGAAGTCTTAATCGTAATCCATACAAGTTGCCGACAACAGCCACTCTWGACTTGGTGGGCTTAAAGGTGTAACATTGASCGTACCTTATATTACGAACAGCTSTGAAGTTTTCAATTCCACAACTGTTCATCTGAAACTGACATCCAAATAGTTCGGTTGGRARAAGCATCTCTGACAAAGAATGGCTGCTGTCATTCAAGTTTTCAATAAGAGAAGCAAACCTTGACATTTGGTCTGTGTATTTTTGGTCCTTCGGTTCTTGTACAGGTTGAGCTTTGCCGCTTCCCATCATTTCAAGAAGCACATCTGCCAGGTAATCTATATCGGCGTCTAAATCTTCCATAGAGGCATTAGGGAACCGATTCTTCATGATCGCTTTGTATTTCCCGGTATGGACGGGATTAATGTTGCAGATTGAAATGTCGGGAAATATACTTGTTTTCTCTCGTTTCGATGAGATGGCGGTTGTATATGGTCTTTGCATAAAGTACGTGAAATGTTGGTACAATGAATACTGACAATATGAAGCTGCAGCTAGAATACACACAAACCAAAACACTCGTCTTTTAATGCTTTTATGGATAAGAAAACGACCTCCATGCATTGTCGTATTCTCAGCAAATTCTGCAAAGCTTTCTGGTTTGTCTGTCGTAGTCGTGTCATTCTCTAATGTGCTTGTAGATCCATTATTTTCTGGTGCAAAGCTTGATCTCTTATCATTCATATCCATAAACTACAGTACAAAAACAAAATGGATAAATAATTTTGTTAATTTTAACCCGTCACAAGAAACAGCTGTATAAATTGATTCATTGAAATAAAATTCGTCTCACGTATAAGTAACAGAAACAAAAAACTAAAAATTCGCCTTAGTTATAACGGCCTTCTAGGACAAAAATGACTGAACCGTTCATAAACTAATGCCACTTTCCGATGTAGTTGTTAGTACTTCGCTAGACCAACATATCAAAGCAATTAGTAAAGGTGTCATCATCACCGTGTAAACCGCATTTACCTTTTTTTCATTAGTTCTTTTTTAAATCCAGCAATACGACACGATCAAGGTTTCAACCTCACTGGGCCTCTCCAAAGTAAAAAAACTTTCTTTGACTAGCGCATTGCCAATATTTTGAAAAGACTACCTGTCTTTTATTTGTTTCTCTTTAATTACTGGGCAATTACTAAAGATATTAAAAATTAACATTAACATATCAGAATTTATCTTAAAATATCAGAAACTAAAAGTATTCAAATCTCGCGGTTTAAAAGTCGAAACAAAAAATAAAGGAAGAATTACTTGCTCTTAACGACGGTACAGCGTCGTATTCTAACCTGTCCCAAAACGGCTTTGAATGGCAATTTATTCTAGAAGACGGTTCACAATATTCATGGGATGTTTACGTTTGTCATCTTATTCTAATTGTCCACACAAGTTACCAGTAATCAAGCCCCATGCCTATAAGTAATTTATATGATAATTTCAACTTTTAGCTTATTGCACATGCTGTTTTTCATCTCCCTCACTTTCCATATAAAGCTTGAAACAACTTTTTCCGACTCAATCGAAATTTTCAATAACATGCACCTAACGGTTACATCGTTATGTAAACTAATTCAATTAAGTTTTTTAGTTTTTTTTTAATAATGTTTTTGAATATCAATTATTGATGGTTCTAAAATATTCGATTTTTAAGAAATTTGCCATGTGGCATCGTTCTTATAAAGTCGTTCAAGTTAGGGACAGCCTGATCTTTACTAAATTTACTCTGGATTTCAGCATGTTTTTCTAAACTACAACATGMATGACATGAATCCTGTGTGCAAAAGAACATCATTTTCTCCAAGTCATCATAAAAGCTTCTGTACCGAATGGGACCACCCTGAGGCTCAAAATAAATAAAGGTTTATTCATTATTCATTTGTTATTCTGGTAATGAATGTAATACCAAAATAGTTTGTTTAACTCGTAGCATTTCATCTAGTATAGATTGACTGGTCGATTTAGAAAATTATGCTAACCAACTTAGAGTCAAATTAAAGAATTTAAGAATTAAAACTGAAAATAGTTGCGTAGTGGTATTGGCTAAAAGGTAATGTTGAGTATCACGTGGTTATCATAACCAAAAGTACTGTCTGAACAGCGCGTGCTATAACCGTTACGTCATAATAGTAGAGCACAGTCCCAACAAATCAGCGCGTGTTAAACCTTGACGTCATTATTAACGTAATCATAATCACAGTCTCTACAAATAGCGCGTGCTTATTTTTGCGCCATAAACGTAATTACAGACCTCATAAACAATTACGTGACAATCATATAATCACAATTCCTATAAAAGCAAAGATATAGACTCTTCGTTATTGCTTCTTGACAAATATATAAAATTGCGATCATCTACATCTACATAGATCCAGCCCTTGGCAATTGATCATGATCAATCGAATAATAGTTCAAGTGCTATTGATTTTCTATCTAACTTTACCTTGCTTTGAAAAACCGTGGACTACGAATGTGTTTTAGAAAGGAGAAGATGTTGATCTGTAATTCTGATTCGATTTATTTGAATTTCCAGACAGTTGCCGCAGGCGCATAATTGTCTCAACTATCTTTCCATACATGGCAAGCTTTAGCTCAAACACATTTCATCATTTCATTGATCAGAATTTCGTGATCTTGCCGCAAATACATCCTAACAATGATTATAAACTCCTGGTAAATAATTATTCCTACAACAAAAATTACTATATATATTTAAAATTATATATTCCTCTTTAATCTCCCTAAATTAAACTCATATTGTCTCCCTAACCAACCATATCATTTCAAACTATTGTTTACCTTCGTGCTTCTATCCTCCATATAATTTTATACTATTTTGTAAGTAACTATTGTGTAAATAACTATTCTGTAAGTAAGTAATTGTATATTCTTTTTTTCCTTATGTTTTATTGCTTTTCTCCTTACCTGTAATTACCAATGTAACACCAAATAACAGGGGGCTAAGTAGAAAACTTATTAGTCAATTTAGCCCTCTGGCTCTATCTCTTTACAAAAATTTCCATATTGTCTATACTTATTTATCTTTTTTATTACAAGCACTTTTTTAATTTCTGTCAACTTAAAAGCAAAAAACGAGCAATAAAACAGTTTCAGTTTCAGTTTCCAACTTACATGGTTATATAATTACCCCCTCGCCCCTCCCTCCGCTCCTCTTGATAATAATCATGACGCGGTATGGCGCAGTAATGCGAATTGCTGTAATTTAGACGTCTTCATACTAGTTTTTTTTTGTTAAATGATGTCTGGTCTATAAGGGCTAACGTGTACTAAACATTTATTTGACTTCACTGGAATATCATTATATATTATCACAGTGATGCTGACTTAATGTACTTCAACCTATTCAAGACTCTTTTCAGCAATTGTTAGATAATCTAATCTTGTGCTTTCTGCTGATTTCGCCGCTTTAGCCTAAATTCTTATGCATGTCATACATGTCATTAATTAATCACTAATTAATTTATTGATGAAACTTCATCAAATGGTATTTTAATGGAGAGAAGTCTTTCAGACGCCCCCTTGTCACTGGGAAAAATAGTTCAATTTAAAAGGTTGTAAATTTGATGTAAATATTATGTAAGTGTCCAAAATGATGTAAATTTGATGTAGATTTGATGCTTAAATTTGATGTAAAATTACATCAAATTTACATCATTTTGGACACTTACATAATATTTACATCAAATTTACAACCTTTAAAGCGCGCGATTTTTTCCAGTGTGTAACTACGGCAACCTGAACTATATTCTATCAGGGATTTTTCTAGTAGACTTGGACTTACCATTCATATAATTCTTTCAAACATGAGCGATTAGCGATCGCACATGGATAAGCTGAGGGTCTCAATGGGGTGGTACGCATCACGACTCACGGCTAAAAAATTAGTTTTGTGCTAGAGATAGTGAGTGTGGGAGCACGTACAGAGGGTCTCAATGGGGTTAACCGTGAGCCGTGAAACGGCAGAAAAATTAGCCGTGAGTCGTGAAAATGCGAAAAAATTAGCCGTGAGGCGTGAATATTTTTTTATAGCGTGAGCCGTGATTCAGTTTTGTCCCTCAGAAGGACAGTCAACTCCGATGTAAATTTAACAAAATAAAAGCTTTAGTGGGGATTTTTCAAAAATTTTCCTTGCAAGAATGTTTTTTCGGCCCCTCGATCCGTTCAGGAATTGTTTTCCCTAAATTTTCCACTCTTCCACCCCCACCCCCTCAAAATTCTACTGGATCGCACCTACCAACAAGGCAGTAATTGCAAGGTCCTGAAGACAAGTCAGGGCACGGACAAAAATTTGACATGTGAGTGTGATGATAAAAAGTTATAATACTAACTAAGTCTATAACGTACAAGGGGAAACTGTGCTACCACACTCACTATCTCTAGCACAAAACAAATTATGAATAAGTAATGAAAAAACGTATTTCAAAAATGAGTCGTGAAATCGCCAAATTTNTGAATACGCTACAAACTTCCTGATTTTACCATGCACATTTAGCCCGGCATAGATTACATCATCGCGAAAAGCGATGAAATCAGTTMGTAAACTCCGATGTCAGACACGGAATGCAGCAATGTCAATGTTCTCAATACCTGCTAACACTTTTTGGATTATTTTTTCTTGTGTATGAATTTATGATTAATCATGCATTTTTTCGTGGAAATAGTCGCATTTCGGCTTATTTGAAAGAGAAAATCCATGTCCGCACGAATAAGTCACGCAGTCTATTCATACGAAAAAAAGAAAAAGTAATGCAAACGTAATTCCAAAATTTCTTAATCTAGGTAACCGTGATTCGAAAAAAATTAATCGTGAGTCGTGAAATCGCCAAATTTTTAGCCGTGAGTCGTGATGCGTACCACCCCATTGAGACGCTCAGCACAGTGTCCCTTGTACGTTATAGACACTCAGTCATTATAATTTTTTATCATCACTCTCAAATGTCAAATTCTGTCCATGCCCTGACTTGTCTGCGGGACCTTGTTGGTAGGTGC